AAGAGGGTGTGGCACAAGTGTGGAGAGGGGTTGGCACAGAGTGTGGAAAGAAGTGGCACAGATTATGGGGGAGGGGTGTGGCACAGAGGGGGAAAAGGGGTTTAGCGCAAAATTGTGGATGGTGGGGGGCACAATGGGAGATTTGGTTTTGGCACAGGGGGGGGGAAGAGTGGTGTAAAAAAACAGAGTGGGGAAGGGGTGTGGCACAGAGTGGGAGTTGGTTTGGCACAATGGGGGAAAGAGGGGGTGGGGCCCACAGGTGTGGAATTTGGGGGCACAGAGTGTGGAGAGGGTGTGGAAACCGAGTTGGAGATTTGGTGGGGGCACAGGTGTGGAGATGGTTTGCCAGAGGAAGAGTGGCTTTGGAAAACTGTGGGAGAGGGGTGGGGGCAAAAGATAGGGAGAGTGGTGGGGAACTGTGTGGAGAGATGTGGCACAAGAAAGGAGATTGGTGTGAACTGCGGAGAGAGGTGGGGAAACAAGAAAAGGGAAGGGTGGGGGGGAACCCTTTTTGAAAAGGGGTTTGGCACAGAGTATAAAAATGGTGTAACTGTGTGGAGAGAGGTGGGTTACAGAGAGGAGATTTTGGTGGCACTGTTTTTACCTAAATTTTCCCGGGAGAGATTTTCCGGGGGGTCAACGCCCCCCCCCCCCGGTCTGAAAACCGGGCCCCTGGTGGATCAAGCCTGATCAACCGGGGCTTTTTTGCTGTTTGGCTGCCCCGCAAACCAACATACGAGCCACAGCCCGGGCTAAACCCGGGGAACTGACTTTGGGGTTTTTTGCCCTTCCCCAGCTTGAAAAACGCCGGGGGTCTTTTGGGGAAAATCCCCCCCTTATTTGCGGGAAGGAAATTTGAACAGCCCCCCGGCCCCTACACTTATTGTAGGGTTTCCTTTTAAACGGCTAGTGACACCCCTCTTTTTCTTTGGGGGGGATGGTGCATGCGCTGAATTTTTTTTCGTATGGTGTTTTTTCGTGTGAAAGTTGGGTACTGCCCTCTGGGATTTTCCGGGTGTTATAATCATGTATCTCCCCCTCCTGCGTTCCGGGGAAAAACAGGTTTAGAAACCCTCAAGCGCTCCCAAAAATTTTGAGGTGTTTTATCCCGTTTTGGCGCCCGTGAAAGTTCCTGTACTTTTTTCTAGTGGGAAATTTCACCCTGTTTAAAAAGGGTTCTGTTAGTGTGCACAATTTTTCCAGCCTAGATAGAAAAAGGGGGACCTGAAGGTGTCTCATGGGTTTGGCCCCCTAGTTTTTTAAAAGGGTTCTCATTATCCACCCTTTTCCCATTTTTTTTTTAGCCGAGGGCGATTGATACAAAGTTTTTTGGTCCTTAAAGGTGAGACCCCTCCGACTTGATCCCCCCCAAGGTTTTTGGACTTTGGGTGTTTCGCTCTATTTTGGCCAAAATTTGTTTTGTCCTCTAAAGAAGTTTTAAATTTTTCCTCATTTTAACATTTTCTGAGTAATTGAAATTTTTTCTCATGGGGTTGAACTTCATTTGTTTTCTAAACCCCACAGAAAGTTTTGGGTTAAAGTTCTGCCGGGGAGCTTGGGCAGTGCCCGCAAGGGGAAACCCTTTTCCAATTGCAGTTTCGGGTGTAAACTGAAAAAGGAAAAAAAAGGACAGGGTCAGGGGCTGACACCTTTGCCCTAATTTTTCGGATAAAAAGGATGAAACAAGAGGGAAACGAGTACGGGGCCCTTTTGGGGAAACAGATTTTTTTCCCCCGTAGCGCCTTCGGACTTTATTCTCTTTTGCCCCCGACCTACTCTCTGTGTTCTGTTAGTGGGAAAATATGGACCCCTCAAAACCAAATTTTTTCCCTTTTTTATTCCTTTGGGACCCATTTTGTTTGGTTTTAACGCCCATTGGTCACATTTGGGCCCAAAAGGCTTTTGCAAATTTCTTTTCAAATTTAAAATTCCATTTTTTTTTGTCTTCAATTGCTTTTTGGGCCCTTGGGTCCGTATGGTTTCCCAAATAGTTAACCAGAAAAGAAGCAAAACCGGGTTCTAAAACCCATTTTTCCCCGGGGTTGTGTAACGGGAGGGGGTTTTCTGGGAGGGCTTTGGTGACTTGCTTTTTAGACCCTTTAAAAAGATTTTTATGTTTGGGGGATTTTAGGGGTTTTATTGGTCTGAAAGTTCTTTGCTGTTGTTTTCCCCGGGCCCCCTTTTGGGGGGGGGGCCTATGTCTGTTTTTTTTTAGAAACTGGGGGACGCCCCCCCGGGGTTCCATGCTCCCTCTCCATGGGAAAGGGAAAAGGGTTTCGGAGGGGGCTTCTTGCTTTCTTCTTTGAGGGAACCCGGGATTTTTTCCATAAATTTTGGCCCCCCTGGGGCAGAGTGCATGGGGGCATGTCTTTTAAACCCCCCCCTTTCAAAGTCTTTTGGGCGTCAGAAAAACATGGATAGGCTTGTTTTTAAAAAATTTTGTGGCTCCCCTTCAAAAAAAATTAAATTTGATTTTCGACTCCACCGGTTAGCGGCTTCAAAAAACTGGCCATTTTGGGAAACTGGGGAGTATCTCACCCTTTTCCCTTGTTTTCATTTTGGGTACCCCCCCACTTTTTTAAATTGGGGGCCCCAAATTTACTGGGACTTTGTTCTGGGATTTTTTTTTTGGGCATGGGAAAAAAATCTTTGGGTTTTTCTTCGATTTTTTTAGGGTTTTTATTTCTTGCCCGCGATTCCTACTCCAAAAAGGATTCTTTTAGCTTAAGTTCGGATGCTTGCTATTTTCTCTGACCATTGTCTCCCTACGCATTTCAGATAAAAGGCCCCTCTTTAGCCGGCTCTGTTATTTTTTCCGTCGCCTTTTAAAGGGGAGGGGCCTGTTCCCCTTTCTGTTTACTTTCTACTCCTCCTTTTTCTTAGAGGAATAACCTTGGGGCATACATCGGGGCTACCGATTAATCTTTTTTCTGGGCCCCAAAGGGGGGGGTCTTGTTGCTTAAAATTTTCCTTCCCAGCTAAAATGGGTTTAAAATTTGGGTTTTATTTGGGTCCCATTTTATGTTTTTGTTATTGAATTTGTTTTTGGGTGAATGCTCCCTCGTGACAAATCTCTTTTAGGGTGGGGCGGGCCCCTTCCGCGCATAAATCCCTGAACCCCCAATTAGGGTTTTGATCTGAGTATATTTTTTTTGATAGGGTGATTTTTCTTTTTCGGGTTTCCATAAATTGTTAGTGAAGTTTGTTTTTCTAGGGTTTTCTCCAGCTATAGGCTCTATTATTTGCGGGTTTAAATTAAAATTTTTTGCAAGTTTTAAAAGCTCGCGTGAGTGGATTTTCACCCAAAGTTTGCCCCGGGGTTTTTAATTACTCCCAACAATATTTTTTGCTATATTCCCCCCATTTTAGGTGCCTTAATTGAAACCCCCCCAGGAGCAAGATGTTGGGTGCAGAGCGGGAAAGGGTTTTTTCCCAACGGGTGGTAAATTTTTTAACAGTTTTCCGGAATTGCTGGGAGGTTTCCCACCCGAGGCTTGTAACTTTTCACAATGATGGTTTTTGGTTCTCGACCTTTACTGCAAAAATTTCACTAAAAAACATTTTGAGGCATTTTAGCATTTCGTGCAAACAAGTAACTCTGCAATGTCCCGGCCAACCCCCCCCCTTTTGGGCCTCTTCACTCTGCCCACTTTCTAAAAAGGGTTGAAACCCTTTGGGTTCCATTTTTTCTTTGTCCAAGTGATCCTTTTTTGGGGGTCTCAAAAAAACCCGCGAAAGGGCCTTTGGTTTCTGAAAAGGCCCAAAGGGAAAATGAAAGGTTTTTTGTTGTTTTTTTGCTGTTTTTTAGCCCTTTTATTTTTGGGGGCAAAGAAAAAGTTATCGGACGGGGGGTTTTTGTTGGTACTGGGGGGGTGGAGAGGGGTTTTGGGCACAAGTATGGAAGGG